CCGCCCCGCCCGGCCCGGGCGCGACCCCAGGTCTCCAGGCCCCGTGCGCACCACTCAGAGCTTGGCGCGCTCCCGCCCCACCGCGCCGGCCCCCAGCCAACGGTTACTCATCCCTCCACCCCCGCCCCGGAGTCCGCAACTCCTCACCCGGGGCTGGGCGGAACCGCGGCGGGGTGGGGACTGGGACCCTGGTGTCCGGTCCGGCCCTTGGCGGGCATGGGAGCGCCAGCATCTCCCCGGGCCACGGCACCGCACCTGTGCGCGCGAGCTCCGGCGACCTGCGGCCACTCGGCCACCGGAAAACAGCCTGACCTCTGATCCCCGCTCCACATCGGAGCCAGGAGCCAGCTGCCAACCGCTGTCCCTGGGCCTGTTTTCTGCTTGTTTTCTGCTCCGTATCGTACCTTGCGTTTTCCCTCCGCTCAGCCTTTCCTCACGCTGGTCCTTACCCTGCATTCCCTTCCTGGTACAGATTTCACAGATCCTCACGTCACCTTTTCATGAAACCTTTGTGAATCCCCTGTGGGTTTCGTCGCATAGCTTCTCCTAGCTTCTCTTAGCTTCTCCTGCGCGGGGACCACAGGCCGCAGGGTGCCTGCCCAGTGGTGGGAGTGGAGGGGAGCCAGCAGGGCGCCCTCCTGCCTGCCTCCGCAAGTCCCCAACAAGTTCATTTTTCTCTATCAGTCTACAGAGGTTTGACTGCTCATTCTGCGGACACACTTAAATCCCAGGGTATAAATGAGCTCCATTCACAAGTCCTTCCTCCAGACCTGGGTCCCTCAGCCTCAGGCTCAATCCCCAACATTGGGCTTCTCTGAACAAATCTAAATCACTCAGCATTCATTGCTCACAGCCAATCAATCTTTTACAGAGAAGAAGGGAGAAACCTGCCTGTGAAGCCAGCACCTAAGGGGATTCTTTGGCAAAGTGAAGCCTGACCGCTGCACAGAGAATGGGTGTGAGGAGGGCTGAGGCCACAGGGAGGACCCATAGGCTGTGGCTGCATTCACAGGGAGGGATGTGGTACCATGGCTTAGACCCAACACACCCTGCACAGATGTTCGTTCTCTGCCCAAACATTGACATAGTCACTGCTATGCATCAGGCACCATCTTAAGCTCTGAAAGTACCACCACCAACAACAAAACAAGAATCTAGTCAAGATGAGTGCTATAATAGATTTATGGACCAAGTACTCTGAAAGTAAGGTCTAGAGAGTGGTGGCTGCTACCTGGGAGGCCCCAGAAAAGCTTCTCAGAGGACGTGACAAATGGTCTGGACTTTGAATACAGGGAAGGAGCTCCCAAGTGAAAGGGCACCATCAATAAGAAACTGGGAGAGAAGATTCTAGACCAGTCTCTGTAAAGAGAGAAGATATGATCTATTTGAGGAAGAGGGGGGAATTTTATATGGCTAAAGCAGACCAGGCCTATTTTGGGGTGAGAGAAGAGATGAGACCAGAAAGGGAGGTTGGAGCCAGACTATGAGAGGCCTTCTGAGCTGTCTAAAAATTTGAATTTGTATTCTAAGGCAATGGGGATGTTTTCAATGTTTTGAAGAAAGGAAGTGGGGAGTTTTTTAATGTTTTGAAGGAATTGTACCTGAGTTAAATAGATACCTTTGGTTATGGCCACATAGGTGATGTTTTGAAGCAGGAAGGCTGGAGGCAGAGAGACTAGTTAGGAGATGGATGTCATTATCCAGGTGAGATGTAATGAGGGCCTGAATTGGTTCACACAGCAGCTGTGGGAATGGAAATGACAGGATGAATTTGGGGTATGTTTGAACTGGAGTCTGCGGGATTTGCTGAGCAAATAAATGGAAGAGGGAAGAGGGAGACAAAGGAGTGGGAAGAGACATTTAGTCTTTCGCTTGGGCACCTAGACAGGTGGTATAGCTACTAATGGGACATCCAAGTGGAAAAGTTCATGAGGCAGCTAGTTAGCTGGGTCTGCAGTTTTGGAGGGAAGACAGGGTTATTGATAGGAATTTGAAAGGCATTAGCTTGAAAATGGGGGTAAAGCCAGAGAAGAAATAAGGTAGGAATTTGAACCCCAGCCTTTAGCTTACTTGCACAAATGTTTATTGAGCACCTGCTTTGTTCCAGTGCCGACGGTTTGCTAGAGATTCCGGGGTGATAAATAGAAGATGGCCCTGTGCTTCTGCAACGAGGAGGAATGCTGGGATGAGCACAGCTCATCTTCTGGCACCATGTCCAGACTTATTGCTGAAGTCTAGTCCTATTTTTCCTATAGCATATCTCTAATCTACTGATGAAATACACTCTCAACAATGGCTAAAAAGTTGCCTTCTTAACAAGGTCATTGAGGGCAGGTCCACTGTGGAGCTCCCCCGTAGCCCCAGACCCACATAGACCGAGCTCAATACTGTGGATAGCCCTTTAAACCCGCACTGTCTATGGGCGTTTTGGCTTTGTTGAGGGGTGAAATGTAACATCAATTTTATGTCAGAGTAAGATGTACTAGGTTAATATAAACATAGCAGTCCCTCCCATCAAAATCTGTTCTGGTTACTGTAAAACATCAATATTATCTGAATAGAAGAAATAGAGATTTTTCTTTGGTTCTCCATAGTTCTCTGATTTTACAATTTTCTGCATTTTTAAAATGAGTATGTTGTTTTGTACAGTAAAATGATGTTAAGCAGAATAAAAACATTTGGAGATACTTTCCTGGTGGGTTATGTAGAGGTTTCACTTGATGCATTTTCAGGAAAACACCTGCATTTCTTCATGGATAATTGGTGCTCTACCAAAATGCCAGAGAATGATATGAAAAGTGAACAGGAAAAAAATAGCATTGGTTATAATTGGCCATTGCTAATCAGTGGAGAGCTGTAGCAGTCTTTTCATGTTTAGTATCTTTTCATTATCAAAGTAACAGCCAGGCAAACAAAATCACTGCTAGTGAAGATATTTTAGTCTTTTTTATATGGCTGGCTTATTTACACAGTTGTGTTGATATTGTAGAATTTCTATCCTACTCTTCTCTCTTAACACAGTATGAATATCATGTTTCAAAAATTGTCTCTGTGAGTCATATTTTAAGCCACCATATTATCTTCTAGCAAAGTGGGTGCAGTAGACATTTCCTTACACATGAATGCTTCGATTGATTGTTTTTCTTATTATAAACAATGCTACAGTGAGTATCTTCACACTTTCATTTGTTTCTGCATCCAAACTCTCAGATGTGACATTATTGAGACAAGTGATATGACGACATGTGAGGCTCTTGAAACATGCACCATTGTCTTCCAAAAGAATTGTAGTAAACAGTCTTCTCACCAGCAGTGAATTCTCATGGTTTTAAACCTCTGGGATTATGGGTATGGCACCTCATCACTATTTACTAGCAGTTTAGCTGTGATGTTACCATTCAGACTTAGAGACTGTTTATCACAGAGTAGTAGCCCATCAATGAGTCTGTGGCTATATTTGCAGTAAAAGAAGACAAGGTGATGATCTTACCATCCCATGTGCCCCTACTGGGGTGACTGTACTTGGGTGACATCACCAGCTACAGGCTCAGCTTTGCCTCCCACAGTCTGACTCAGACACCCTGATTCAAATGAACCAAACCCACAGCAGACTGAAAAACAATGTTCCACCACCACTATCCTCATCCTTAGATTTTCTTAGTATACAAATATCTACAGGTTTCTCTCTCTTAAACAAAAAATATTTTTAAACATTTTTATATCCCACTTCTCTTCCTAGCCACTTTTCCACCTCTCATCTTCTCTCAATAGTCAAACTCCTGAAAGAATCATCTAGGTTCCCCCAACTACCATTCACACTTCAAGACTTTACAACCCAGTGGCCTCCATGTGGCCAAACCTAATGGCCGCTTTCTGTTCTAATCCCACTAGTTAACACTTGTCCCTGCAGTTCTCTCCCCGCTTAGCTTGTGAAGAAGTTGCATAGTGTAAAGTGTGAAAGTTTTACTTTAGAACCTGACTCTGACATTACAGGCCATGTCTTCCTGAGCAAATTTCTTATCCTTCCCATCACTGAGGTGAGTGCAAGATAGGGTGAGGCAGAATTCTAAGGTGGCGAAGAGCCCAGACTTTGGTGCTTGTCAATTGGGTTTGAGTTCATGTCTAACCTGAGACCTTGAGCACATACCAGTAGCACTCTTGTGGGCTTCAGTTTCCTCATGCATAAATATGGAATTTAATGAGCTACTGCAAAGGACTCCGAGTACTCCTAGTCAATGTCCGTGCTATTTAAGTGTCTGCTTAATGCCTACACCAGGGGACTCTGTAAGTGTTCAATGCTAACAGTGTCTGGCACAGTTCCTTGTCTTCTCCTGGTCTTCCTCCCTTTCTGAGTCCCAGAGTTCTGTTGTTGG